TAAATGTAAAACAAATTTTCATTTTCAGATTAAAACAATTATTATCAATGTATCGGGTTCAATTTGATTTTATAGACGTTGTATTAGCAAAAAGAACTAGTCTTAAAACTATGGCAAATTTCACCACTTTATGGAATCAACAGTTTATTAATCAAGGTAATATAACGGTTGATAATTTTATTTTGAAACTCTTATGGTTTCTATGTCTATATCTTATTTATGAAATTATAAATATATTGCATCATTTATATTTTAGTATTATCTAATGTATTATCTACCTATATTAGTGGCGCATTTAGACATAAGCGCCTTGGGGCAACATTTTACTACCCCACCCCCTCCCCTCTTACTAACAATAACATGTCTTGTATACTTGGGGAAGAATTGGAAATGGTTTTTAAATAACTGCCAAAATGAATACATTGATTGGGAAATTAAGTTCCCAAATCTGTTATTGTATTCATTTTTAAAAGCTCAGCAGATATCCTTATGTCTGCTGCTGTCATTTTAGTTTTAAAAAAAGTAATAATTTTTAAAAGGTTTTTATAGGTCATGGTACACTATTAATATTTTCTCGCCCCAGTTGCCCCCTCCCCCCTTAAATGCGCCACTGACCTACGAAAACGATATGTGGGTACCTACAGAATAAAAATGTATCAAAGAAGCACCTACTATATGTCTACAAACGTCCATAAAAGTTTCAAATCCATTTTATCGCTTGAATAAATGCTCGCAGAGTAACTTACTACTGACTTACCAACTATAATATCTATATATTTTATTTATTTATTATAAGATTAACGCCAAACGGCTTTTATAGAAAGGTATGCAGTACTTATATACATATTTAAATACAGATTGATAACAGCACAGATTTAAGTGCAGACTAAACTAGGTAAATTAACATAAGAAAAATTAACAAAATATATGAGAAAACTATGTGAATGTAGATCACAGTTGATTTACATGGTTTTGTTTTTTATCAAATTAAGATTGGAGAAAAGTGAAAACAAACCACTAACATTTGAACATGTATTAATATTTAATTTAGAAAGTCAACATCAGGACGACGAAAAATATCAAACTGTGATTGATACCTTGTACGTTAAAGATTTATTAGAAACGTATTCAATGCAATCTGATTTGGTTATTATGTAAGTGAATACGTGTACACTGTACATTATACATTGATTATTTAAGAGTATTTAAATTAAATAATTTTAGAAAAATAAACCGAACAAATTTGATTTGTATTAATTATAGATCATTATCAAAAACCACCGAGAAACTAGACCAAATACATATGTATTGGATGGAAGTGATAACTAGAGGATTACCACCTTGTATTTTAATTCATGGAAATACAATTCAAACTGTTACAGCCAGTGCTTAAATTTGAATAATCATGTATAAATAAATATTAAAAAGTGTCTAACATTAAGGATATTAAATTTTTTTTAAATATTATATCATAAGCAATAAGCATATTATATTAATATACATATATCACTATACTATCCAGTAGTATACAGTGATAACGAATTGTTTTTTATTTTTTTTATTTTTTATTTTAATAAAGTGTTACTGACAACGAGGTCATCTAACTTATTGATAGAATAGAATTTTTAATATGCAAAAGTAGTTATAAATAAATAAGTAAATGCAATAAATTGGTTATTTACAAAGATGAGTAGCTAGATAATAAAAAAAAAAAAAATGTGACGTTGTAATAATTAGTTAAACTACCTAGGTGTAAAATTTTTTTTTTCTTAAAAGTATATACATATATTATTGACGTTGAGAAAGGGCATCATGAGGACGTCCGCGCTTGAGACGTCGGAGAACGAATTGTTAATTTGAATTATTTAATATTTACACAATAAAACTGTCATATTTATGGATTGGTAATTATACGAACTAATAAGTGATAACAAATTTTTCAAACAAACATAAATGGTTCCTATAGGTATATTGAATGGGTTTGTACGCACTGGCGCTGTGCACTGTGCAGGCGATGTCATTTCATTTTGCACCTCTTCTTTAGACGTTTTCGGTAACCTGAATTTGATATCCTACCTTATTCTAGTACAAAGTTTTCATGTATCATGTTCATAAGAATAAATCAAATGGTAAATTTATGATTTACTATTATCGTGTTGTTGCGTTACATCACGTCGTTCTTATAATAGATTATTTAAAATATGATTTGCTATATATTACAGTTATTACTATAACTAACAAAATTGCCTTGCAAATTCTTCTCATAAACTTAAAAAAAAATTCTCATTTAAATATGATAATATGATTACAATATATAATATGTGGAATATATTTAATTGTGTTATTATTTATGATATTAATACTACATGCACTTTATCACTCAACCAACTTTACCCATATGAGTCAGCACCCCAACAGATATCCTCCTCAATCAAATTCATCGTACCATCAATCCATTCAACAAGATAATATCTCTATTATATCGTTTAGTATTTTAGCAGACTTCATATTATTATCATTTGTGCCTCGTTAACTTCTATATTAGGTATCTATACATATAATGTAATTTAATCTTGTCCATCTCATACAATGGCCACTGTTGTGGCGGGTTATTTAAATAAAAAAACTAAAAACTCTGCACTTAATCTTATTTTTTTACATATATAATATAGTAGAGTTTTTGTAAGAAAAACATTTTTATTGCATTCTGTTTTTATTTTATTAATAATTATTAGGTATATTATATTTTGATTATAGTTTTCAAAGCCTTTGTTTTATAAGTATGTGGCTTTGTGGCCTCTTAAAGAATGCTCTAGTGGCCTTTGATATGTCAGGCTGACACTGACTATATGTCTATATTAGTATAAACTATTTGAATTAATAACAAGTATCACCACCATAGTTTATTATAGTTATTGCCTAGGATTTTAACATAAAAAAATAATGACATGTCAATTAAATAAATACATTTACTTAAGTGTTTTTTTCCCAACTTCAAATCACAATCAATAATTTCAAGTTCTCAAGTATATCAATAAATAGTCGTACTTTTAATCTAAAATGCATTATTTTTAATATTATGTGTTAGTACATATTCGTATTTTGTGACCTAACCAGTAAAATATATCATTAGTTTTTATCGAATCTTCTATCTATAATATTAAAATTATTAAAATAAAATATTTAATGAATAATTGTCTTATTATCATAATACAGAGTGATTTTTTACCGTAAAATATACACATTTTCTCAGTAAAATAACTTTTTTTTCTTATTTAGGTACCTATAATTTAATTTATTCATCACTTTTTTGTTAAGGGGATTGGAAGCGGCGATTTTCTGTCTTTGTTTAACACACGTGCAACATAGGATTATAGACGTGTTCTATTTCCAACGTACCGATTAATCTAGTGAAGCGATAAGAATTCTGAAAACAGATTTGAATTTGTCGTCAAGTGTACTTGAGATCGACTTTACCACATTTTTGATATTTTCATTAAAACTTCTCCAAAAATTGAAATATGGAAATTTTTTAATTACTCTTTTTAATATATCATTTGTATGATTTTTGGGGAATTATATCAAAAATGTCGGGAAGTCGATCTCAAGTAGACTTGACGACAAATTCAAATCTGTTTACAGAGTTCTTATCGCTTCACTAGATTAATCGGTACGTTGGAAATAGAACACGTCTATAATCCTATGTTGCACGTGTGTTAGACAAAGACAGAAAATCGCCGCTTCCAATCCCCTTAAGATAAATACCATTTTCACATAGTAACGCAACTATTATTGCATATGCCACAGAAAAATGTTTTTTAAAAAATAGTTAGGTACCTAGGTGCCAGGTATGTAAATAAATATTTAATGAATAAACATTTTTTATGAATAAAACATTTATGTTTAGATAAAAAGTTGTACAATGTAAACCATAGAAGCAGGTATATTCCTGAAACTTCACTCTTCCTTAAATCCTATCATATTATAAAATAATGTGAAATATGAATATTTTTACTAATTTTTAAAAGTATAAAATTGAATACAAATAACGAGTGCCTCGTGTTAAAAATAAAAAATGTATATTAAGTCATTCTCAAATTACATGATTACAAATAAAAAGAATAGCTCCTAGCTTTTATGAAAATTAAAATTATACAATACCTATGTCTATATATTATATTACATAGAAAACGGGAAAGTTTGATGGCTAGTTCAGGTAGGTAGTTAATACTGAAAAAAGCTACGCTTGCATTTTGCGTACAGGAAACAGTCGTTGTTTGTGTTTTCCTGATTATATTTGATTTTTTGGTAGCATAATACTTAATTATTAATCTAATAAATTGTTTCTCAATTTAATCAACAGTATAACTTCAACTAGGTATATCGATTGTTAGTTCGTTGTCTATTGCTTTATTTAGTGCATAAAAAGGTTATTTTTAGGATCTGCCTTCAGCTTTTAGATATTATTTTTATTGTGTTCAAATACTGATTAGCCAAAAGGTGAATGATACCTGTAAAGTATTTCAAAGAACTTAACTAATTGACATGCGCAGGAACTAGGTACACTATTGTTTGAACAATACTTTCATTTTTCACGCATTTCATTTATTTGTATGTTGTTGATTACCTACCTATATTGTTATTATTATTATTAAGATAATTATTATTAAAATATTAAATTAATGTTTACAATTTAAAATATTAAAATAAAACAATTAAATTTCTTATCATAAGTACAACAATTATACATTTTATGGCCAGTTCGTTTTGTTCAAAATTTTAATTATTATAGCCTCTCTAGAGACCTATATGTATACCTAGTAAATATTCCATCGTTTTTATCTATTTTGAAGATCTCGTGAACTTTTACAGTATAATATTATTATTCCCAATGTTTTTGTACAAGTTATTTAATTAATTAAAACAATGACTCAATTACTATACATTATATAAAGCTCCACTTTTTTATGTAACAGTTATAATTTTGAAAGCTTATAAACATGTCAGATCACGAAGAAATTAAAAACGAAAGGCGTCCATGGATTGATCAGGTACCTATACTAAACAAACATAATATATAATTTAAAATATTATTAACTGTATTGATTTTTATTGTTATACCTATTACCTATACTAAAAATTACATTTTTCATAAGTTACAAATTACAATCCACAAACTACATTTCTTCAACTATGCTTATTCCGTGTGATTTTATTCAAATTAACTAAATAATTAACTTTTTTATAGTATTTTTTTTGTTTTTGAAAATATATTTGTAGATTATGATATGATTCTATTAATTTAAGGTAGGTACTTATTATATTATATAACTTTTGCGAAAAACTCCATTTTTATCACAATAATGTCTTTGGCTTTTTAAAATTATTAAAAAGCAACTTCTATAGTAATTTTATACATTAACATTTTTTAAAATAATATTGACCAAATTGCGTCTGAATTCAAAATATTTAAATTTTAAATGATAAGATTTTCAAGGGTAAATTCACATATTTTCATCCTTCGATTTTTCATATTTTGTTGTAATTCAAAAACGAATAATCCTAGATACTTGAAATTTTCACTAAATGTTAAAACTATCATTTTTAATTCATGGCAAAATGTTCAAACAAAGTTGACTCTTTTTGAGCTATTTATAGCCATGGGCAATTTTTAAAATGTAATTTATTTTTCGGTTAGAAGTTTCCTAAATTTTTTTTTTTTCATAGCTAAGATTAAAAATTTTAATAGAAGATTTTACTTACGTTTTTTTACCTATAACAAAAAATGTGTCCTGACACGGAACATTATTTTATTTATTTTTATTTTATTTTACAATACGGGACGAACCCTATAATACATGAAAATAGATATACTAAATAATAATAATAATAGAAATAATAGTTTGATTATGGAAACGAGGCTCAATTTAGAGTGAGAATGAAGGGTCAGTGTTGGCAATGCGCATAAGACGGATGATCGGTGAGTTAAGATAGTAGTTTGAGGAAGAGAAAGGAATATGAAATGGAACAGATGAACGTGTACGTCGGGAGGGGACATTAAATGAGACACGGGATAGTGATTCAGGACTGTCTATTTTAGAGGAAAGAAGATTAGAAAGAAATGTTAAGTTGGCTGAATGACGACGATCGGCGAGACTTTCTAAGGAAAAAAGGCGTTGGATTGGCGTGTAATCGTGACATTAATTTTTTATGAGCATTTCAACTTTTAATTTTTACAAAATTTGAAATTCAGCAATAAATTATCGAAGAAATTAATTGATTTTAATATATTGTTGTATTTCCAAAACGAATAACCGTTGACTTGAAATGTTCATCAAATTTTACAATTTTATATTAATATTTTCCATACGAGGTAAAATTTTCAAACTAATTTTCAAACTTTGAGTATTTTTGAGCTATTTGTGGCCATGATAATTTTTTCAAATTATGTAAATAATTTTTCAGTTAGAAATTCATAGGAGTTTTTATTTTCATAACCAATATTAGATATTTTAATAGAAAGTTCTCAACAAGTTGGACTACCTTTATCAAAAATAAAAGGTTAACCAGAAAGTTACACTATTTATAGCCAAGAGATATTTCCGATTTTTATACATTTTTTTAGATTCTGAGCGGAGCGATGAATGTACTGGTTTTACAATGATGTATGTTTTTATATTTTTATTTATATTTTTGTGTCTGTCATCACGTTTTGGGACAGTAAAAGTGCTTCGATTTTCTTCAATAGTACCTTTTCTGATAGGAAAGTGAATCTAGTTGGTACTTTGGGGGGTCAAAAGTAAACATTTTCCAGTAGTTTTCACAAGCGCCGGGAAAAACAACATAAAAATTAAGGAAAAACGGGAATTTTTACGCAAAATCGATTTTCCAAAAAATCGAATTTGGTTTTTGGTGTAACTTTAAAACAAATGACCGTAGATACATGAAATTTTCACTGGTTGTTTATATTTGCATTTTCTATACACGATAACATTTTCAAAATATTTTGGACATTTTCATTTTTCATTTTTTTTTAGTTTTTTTTCTAGAAATATCAATAAAATTTTATTTGTTGGTTGCGAAAGCTTGAAAATTTAATAGAAGGCTCCTAATATGTTGTTTCAAAGGCAGATGAAAAATATTAAAAATCCTTAGTCACAATTTTTTTTTATAAGCATTTAAAGTTCAAAAATTGACAAAATATGGAAAAATCACGAAAATTAGCAAATTATTTTGAGTTAAGAATTCGTAAAAATTTTTCTTTTTAAATCTAAGATTTGAAAATGAAACACAAGATTCCTTATAAGATTATCTACCTTTATCAATAAAAAAATCTCTACCGGACAGTCAAGTTAAATTTTTATGAGCGTTTGAAATTCAAATTTTTACAACATTGGATATTCCCTCGATTTCTCATGTAGCGATTTCCTTATTTTGTTGTAAATCAAAAACGAACAACTGTAGATACATGAAAATTTCACTGAATGTTTAAATTAGCATTTTCTATACACCATACTGCAATTTTGAAAATATTTTGACTCTTTTTGAGCTGTTTAGGGACATTTTCAGTTTTCAATTTGTTTAGTTTTTTTTTTTTATAATTGTCAATAAAATTTTATTTGGTGGGCCAAAAAGTCTGAAAATTGAATACAAACTTTCTTATATATTGTTACAATATCAGTTGAAAAATTTTAAAAATACATATTCACGATTTTTTTTTATAAGCATTTAAAGTTGGAATTTTGACAAAATTTATCAAAATCTCGAAAATAATCAATCGTTGGAATTAAAAAATTATAAAATGTTCAGTTTTTATAACTAAGAGTTGAAAATTTAAAACAAAGATTCTCTTAAATAATTCATATTGTAACCAAAAAATCTAAAAAATATATAAACACACTTATTTTTTACAGACATTTTAATTTCAAATTTGGACGAAATTACATATTAAAAAACCTAGAATAACTATTTTAGTTATTTTGTTGTGATTGAATAATATTATTCGTGGGTACTTGAAACTTCTAAAGTGTACTATTATACCTATATCTATGATAGTATCACGGTTTTTTGTTGATGTATAACGGGTTATAAGTATCTAATGGATATTGTGATATGATTAATTTGGAATTTATTATAGGTACCTATTATAGGTCAATATTTTGTTTAATACCATAGATATGTATATAATATGCCTTATACATAGACTGACATACCATCACCGCTCAGAATCGTTTTTCTTATACAATGATATTATATCATTGAATTCAAATTTAATACCACCCATTATACAGTGACCCACTTGTAACCTACTGTACAGCAGAGCGACACCCACTTGCCCACCTTTTTTATTTTTAAATTTGTTTATTTATACAAGTACCTATGCTAGGATGATCTAATGTCTCCGTTCAGAATCGTATTCCGTATACAATGATTTATTATTGAATTAAAATGTAATACATCCACAGTCCTGTAAAGAATACTTTTAAAAAGTATTTAAGATACTACTCAAATACTTTGAAAAAGTATTTGAAATATTTTTATTTACTAGCTGATCCCGTGCACTTCGTCGCCCGTTAAATGGATCAACTCAATACTACCTACTCAAACTTTGTTCAATTCATTAACGTGTATGGTGTTCAAAATTTATCTTATCCTTCCCGTTGCCCTGAATAAAAATTCTGAATCGCGGCAGTACATTATCAGGTAGGCAATCTACCTGCGGTAGATCGCGGACCCCGTGCTGTTTGTACGGAAGTGTATGATTTAACTCTAAAGTATCAAAGTTATACCAAGTTTATTTTGAAGTAATACTGTGGATTAATATAATAAATTTGGTTGCTCGTAAAAAATCGCAACTCTTAAAAAAATTATGATTGTTGAACTCCTTTTGGGTGTAATTTTCTGCGGTAAGTGCAACTCTGCCACCCTGGTAAGCATTGTTCAATAATTCGATTTGATGCAAGCTTGTACCTGATCTGCCCGAATAACCAATGGCAACCAATAAATAAATGCTAATTTCTAATGTAGACTGTAACCAATGGCAACTATAAATAAATAAAAATAAAATTTCCAATTTCTATCGTGAATCTCAATGTCCCTGTTTCAGCACCTATTTAAAAATTCGAATTTTGGCAAATCCTTTCTTAGCGCACGTCTATATTATAATAGCTATCTGTATGCCAAATTTCAGCCAGATCCGTCCAATGGTTTGAGCTGTGCGTTGATAGCAGTCAATCAGCTTACTGTTTTTTATATACAGATATGGTTGCCATGGTAATATGGACCCACACACACACATACACACACACTGACATACATTCATTTTTATATATATAGATTAATATTATTTTTTAAAGTTTTACTACATATAAATCTACATATAATTTTATTTTTATGATCACCCTACCTCAGTTTTAACTCCCATGATACATATTTTATACATATTAAATTTACAGCTGATCCCGTGCACTTCGTTGCCCAATAAAAATACCAACTCTATATGAATTATATTGATTATATTAATCTCGATATTCATTATTAATTATTATCCTTACCTAACTTAAAATGGATTACCCAATATTCGTGCACAGTTTTACACTTGTCATCTACAGAAGTGCTTTTGGATATACAATATTTTTCGTTGTACCGTCCGGTGCGTACACAAATAAATCAACTGGTCTTCTTAAATAACAACCAAATTAACCAATGGCAACCGATAATTATTATTATTATATAGCTTTGAAACCCACGGCAACTATTTATAAACGAAAAAGTCCATATAAAATCTCAAAATCCCTATTTGAGCACAACATCGTCAACATCTCAATGATTATCAATTCACATTAAAAATTACAACTCTACATGAATAATATGTTCTACATATCAAAATGGCAACCATTTATATACAAAACTTTCCATAGGAAGTTACAAAATAAAATATAAAAGGTTGCCATGGTAATGTGGACAGTGTCCACTGGACACACACGGACTATATATATAAAATATCTGATCCCATGCACTTCGTTGCCCATTAAAGACCTTTTTTGATTATAATAGCTACAACACTCATGGTAACCATGGTACCTTTGGTAACCATGGTAACTATGGATCATGGTAACCTTAATAACCATGAAACCTTAGTAACCTTAGTAACCATGGCAACCTTGGTAACCATGGTAACATGGACACACAGACACACAGACTGACATACATTCATTTTTATATATATAGATAAATAAAATTTTTAATAAACAATTTATTTGAAAAAGTATTTGAAATACTTAACTAATACTTTTGGTTTTTAAAGTAGGTTTCTAATTATCGTAATATAGACACGTAAGTGGTAGGTTTATAATAATTTTTATTTATTAAATAAATGTTTATTACATTTTAAAAACATAATGTATTTAACATTTTCATCAGTCATACTGCTTCTCTTTTTGGTCATGGTTGCTCCACCCACACTAAATACCCGCTACTCTGAAGCGCTGCTTGGCAGCGGAGTATTGAATTTAATAATCTATATTATTATTCCCTTATTCCCGCATAACCATTAAGGCAGGCATTGTATCTGATATTATCAACAGTTATCTAATAATATTCAAAGGGAATATTGTTATTCAATAATTATTTTTAGAAATCTGGTTTTCACAAACCTTCGGGCTTCGGCTAACACAGAAATACAGACTATTAATAAAACTATTATTCTATTATTGTAGTGGACAATAATATTTTTCTAACCAATTATTTCTAATAATAATAAAACGTTCCAAATAAAAAACCAAAGTATTCAATATAAACAAGTATTTAATACAAAAAAAAGTATTTAAAATACTTCATGCTGAAAGTATTTAAAAATTTATTCAATACTTAAAAAAGTATTTGAATACTATAACTCAGATACTTTACAGGACTGCACATCCATATTACAACTAGATCCATGCTTGACAACTATATGTCTATATGACAGTGTAGGTATAACTGAGCCATACCCACTTGTCCATCGTTTATTTTTCTAATTTGACAATAACAATATGTCTTATTATATTTAAAGATTCAATCGTTCAATGAACTATATCGTGAAGAAGAAAACAAAGTAGAAGTGAGCCCAGGAATAAAACTGGGATGGGTCAAAGGCGTGTTGATTCCATGTCTACTCAGCATCTGGGGCGTGATGCTTTTCTTGCGGATGCAGTGGATTTTAGGACAAGCTGGAATATTTCATTCAATCATTATTATTTGTATTGCGCTGGTTATAATTCTAATCACCACTTTTTCACTGTCTGCGATCAGCACAAATGGAAAAGTAAAAGGAGGTATTATTTTATAACAATTAAAAATATCATAAATCTGTACAACTCGATTTATTCAAAAATAATATAAACATAACTGATATATTTGAATGTACCTGTTCTATTTATGGTGAAATATATTTTCTATGTTTATTTACCTAAACAAAATGCAGTCAGAATTCAGGTACCTACCGAATCATAAATAATGCTTATTATTTTAATATCACTCAGACTGTATTTACTATTTACTATTTAGTATCCAGTGATAATGTTATTCCGAAATATTTTTAAAACATTTTAATTACAAAAAATATTCGTCCTAGGTACACAATAGAAAAAAACACTTTTCTAAAAAAACAAAAAAATAATGAAAAATTTAAAAGTGTGTGGTATAATATGTCAAGTGTAAGAGCGCCACACACTTTTAAATTTTTCATTATTTTTTTGTTTTTTTAGAAAAGTGTTTTTTAAAAAAATTTTTTTAATTTTTAATTTTCTACTTTTTAGTTAAAAAATTTTTTTTACGGATTATTGTATTGTCATCCAAGACCAAGGTCTATATCAATTTTCAGAATTTTTCATCTTCAAAAAGTGCCTCAAATCGAGCGCGCAAGATTTGATCACAGACAGACGTGAAACAAACTTAAGAAAAGTGTTAAAAAGGATGGTCACTGACTAGTTAGAAAATTAAAGTTATCTACTATTTATTGTCGGTATATTTTGACTTAACTATAGTTTTACTCTTTCTCTGTTTATAAACTAACTGAGTAGCTGAATTAGGTACTTGTAGTTTTCACGTATTTATCGATCAAGTTAACGAATTATTTTAAAGTAGTCAAATTTAAATTTATTTTTAATGTATCTACATATTGAAAATATTTTGCAACAACACTACAATAAATATTTCTGTAAATATGAATAATAATTTACTTAACGGTACAAAAAAATAAAAACAATGTATACAATTTGTTTAAACTGTAACTTGAAAGTCACTTTTTAATTTTTTCTAACTTGGGTGGGATAATAATTGACCAAATTATAGTCTATAACTAACTTATTATATTTTAAAAACTTTGTGAATAACTTAAAATTAGAAGAAGCCAGAAGGAAATATAATTAGTTTTTTATATTCTTAATTCAGCTAGATAGGAATAGTCACTAACCATCTCAAGCTTCAATATAGCAAAGACAGATTAAACTTAAAAGTTTAACAAAAAAAGGCCCCAATATTTATTGAAAATATGTTATTTGTTTCATCAATCACGTTCATTTTTTTAGTACCAAAAAGATTGAAAATAAATTTCAATTGATGGCAACTTATAAATATTATAAATATAAAAATATACTTTCGAGTCCGATAGATTTATTAAACAATTAATTATTATTTTATTTATGCAGGTGGTCTTTATTTCATTATTTCCCGATCAATTGGTCCGGAAATTGGAGCGTCAATTGGTATTCTATTAGCATTTGCTAACACAATTTCTGCGGCAATGAACACAATTGGATTTTGTTTATCTTTAAAATCATTACTAAACTCAAGAGGTTCAGAAATAATAGATTCAAATTTAAGTTTCAGAGCGTTAGGAGTAGTGTCTATAATAATTATGAGTATACTTTGTTGTATTGGCATGGATAGAGAAGCTGAAGTCTGTATAAAAATACATTTCATAAATTATTAAAATTTCTATAAGCTTTTCTATTTCAGGTACAAAACGCTCTTCTGATAGCCATAATTGTCGGTATTTTTAACGTAATTATTGGCTCAATTAATGGCCCACAAACTACTTTAGCAAAGGCATCAGGATTCACTGGATTTAACAGTAATATATTTTATTACCTTCTATATTTATTAATTATTGTTCACAATTAACATGAGTTCACATTACATTCCAGTGGATACCTTCCGAAAAAACTGGTATCCAGACTATAGGGTGGAAAAAGGTGTTCAGCAATCTTTTTTTACAATTTTCGCAGTTTTCTTTCCATCTGTAACTGGTATACAAGCTGGAGCAAATATATCGGGGGATCTTAAAGTAGGTACATGAAATAATATTAATTCGACAAGTGACCATTAACTCAATATTTATTTAGGATCCTAGTGCTTCAATACCTAAAGGAACACTATTATCAATTCTCATTACTATAACTTCGTATATTGTATTAATAGTAGTACCTGGATCGGTTCAATTGAGAGAAGCGAGCGGCAATGAAACCGAATATCAAAATGGATCTTATTTAGATTGTTCGTTTAAAAATTGCACCAAAGGATTGTACAAGGACAAGGATGTAAATTTATTATAAAATATATAATTATAATGTACATCTGTTGAACATGTAAATTAATATTAATATTTTGATGTTTTTAGCTGATGCAGTCGATTTCGTTGTGGCCGATTACTATATATTTCGGTTGTTTTGGAGCTACTATTAGTACTGCTTTAACCGCATTAATATCCGTTCCAAAGTTGTTACAAAGAATGGGACAAGATGATGTTTATCCGCTTCTTAAATATTTAGCAAAAGGCTATGGGAAAAATAAAGAACCCTATCGTGCACACGTGTTGGCCATGTTTGTGTCATCGATATTATTTATTATAGGTATTAAAGTATAGTTTTTATGTACACGTTATTGCATTTTATTTAAGTCGATACCTGATTTTTAGTGATCAATAATGATTATTGATTAAACTTCAAGAGAAACCAGTATTTTATCAAATTTAAATATATTCTACATTTCTATCAAAGGATTAATATAGTATTAATAACTAACAAGTAATAAGTAGTGTTATTAATATTATACTTATAAAGAAAATGTCTACCTACAAATATTTTATCGGTTCTAGGGAAAAACATTTTTCTAATAAGCAGTGGAGTATTTACGGGGGGAGGGGGGTCCATGGGGTCCGGACCCCTCCCATTGACTCGTGTCTCGTACATGTTAAATGTTGTGCAGTTTTTACATGATTAAAAAACAAATTTTTCATACGATTTTACGGATTGTATAAAAAATTTTCGAAGCTATAAGTTATATCAACATTTTCAATAAATATCGTGATTATTTTTATCAGTTGGGTACCGGAAATGGTTGAAAAATACCAAATTCATTCTTTAATTCAAATATTTTGTAGTTTTGTACATTGCCAGTATCTACAACCACTCCAGAGAGATCTTTTTCAAACTTTTTAAGGTTGAAAAGTTATCTAAGATCAACTATGAATGAAGTAGGTACCTAATGTAATTAAGGAAATATTTGTATAAAAGTTATAACATATAACTATACATTCGATTCTGAGGGATCTATTGGTTCTACAATGGTGTTTATTTTTTTTTCCTGTATACAAAATTTCTTCCAGAAGGAGTGCTTCGATTTCAACATGTATAGATATATAGTAACTTATCTTTTAGAAAATTGGATCAAGATTACTATCTTAGAGAGGTCATTTTTTTATTTTCTCAATAGTTATTTAATGTCACTGTAAAAACCACCAAAAAATTACGAAAAACCTCTAAAAATGGGATTTTAATTTCTAACACTTTGTCTATCACCATAGAAAAAAATAAAAAATAAAAGTATTTCATTATTAATTCAACTAACAGGCTATAATAAATAATAACAATATAAAATATCCAGACTGACAAACCGTCTTCGCTCAGAATCGTTTTTCTTATACAATGATATTATATTATATCATTGTGTTCAAGTTTAATACAATCCATTATACATTGACCCACTTGTAACCTACTGTACAGCAGCAGAGTGACATCCACTCACCCGCTTTTTTTTAAAATTTGTTTTGTACATATTATTATTTAATAATTAAAAACTCGACAATTTTATATCGTCTTATAAATATGGTATATTTTATTTAACAAAGAGTAAATGGGTGGTGTGGGGGGCTTCGTCCCCCGTGGCTCTGTGTTCTGGAGTTCTGGACCCTCCCCATGACAAATTCCTAAATACGCCACTGCTAATAAGAATATATGACTTGGATTTAAAACTATAATTATGGTCTTAAGACACAACAATCCTGTACTGAGGTTATATATGCTTATGTTATATACAGATTATACACCAATGCGGCTCTGTTATATATTATAACACTTATGTACCATTAAATAGTAAATAGATTATTTTGAAAAATTTACTTTAATAATTACAAGAAAACATCTAGGTAGAAGCTTAGTTAGTTAAATACGTTACACATATTAGTTATTACACAATAAGATATATGTTAACAGTATTCCAATTAAAATTATTACCAACCCATATATTGTATTAAGTATAATATAATATTTTAAACCTTAAAATGTATTTTTACATCTTTCAGCTTTATTAAATTAAAATTCTATGTTTGAAAAACGATTTTTTTTCGGTTTCAAAATGTATTTTACTATATTATAATTTATAATATACAAGATTTAATAGGGTTCGATATTTTTTATTGTTTTGTATATAATAGGTTATAGGTAGAATACAATAATAAACTATTTATGTCTCAATGTGAATTAGAAAAAATTATGTAGAGAATTTAATCGAATTATCTGTATTTGACAAAAAATAATAAATTTATATTTTTACTTCTAAAAGTATAAATTACACAATTTTTCCGAAAAGTTAAATTTATTTTCACTAACATAATATAAAAATTAATACAATTTGTTTGAATTAGCAAAATAAATGTTAATCATTATTTATTTCGGAATAATCTAAAATTATTTAATATGAATTTTTTCAGGTGAATTAAATGATATTGCCTCATTGATCTCAACTATTTATTTATCTGCATACGCCATGTTAAATTTGTGTACATTTCATGTTGCATATTTCAAACCTTTGGGTTGGAGGCCAACATACAAGGTACCTACTCGTCAGTAAATAATATATACAATATACATTCATATACATTTTTTTTATAAGATTTCTTCAAGAAGTTATTATATAGCTCAACTAGTGCAGATTAAAATAATTATGCAGAATAAACAGGATAGAAAGATAAATTATTGACAGTATAACATAATAAGGTGGTTTATTGTCTAAGAAATAATTTGAGTATTAAATACAGCGATGACTGGTGAGGATAGATTTAATAATAAATGTTAGGTCGGATAGGAACATCGATAATGCTGATTCAATGTTCGAATTTTTTAAGTACCTACCTAAACTTATTATCTTAAGACCTAAAGTAACAGAATCCTGTTGAGTAGTATTAAGGAAAGGCTCAGAAAATATTCCGTTTATGGTTGTAAATAATTAAGGTTAACTACCTGCATTTATATTTTATAACAATAAATATTAATTAATTATGTTTTAAGTTTTATAACAAATGGTTAAGTCTTGCTGGTGCTATTGTCTGCATTGTAGTAATGATATTTATTGATCCAAAAATGTCAGCAATTGTTGGTTGCGCTATATGTGTTATGTACATACTTGCTAGTATAAAAAATAAAGGTTTGTTAAATTGCTTGTGTCATGAACCTAACAAATAAATTAATCGATATTTCTATTAATACAATTTAATTTAAACGAAGAGATTAATTGGGGATCTTCTAAGCAAACACAACAAATAAAAACAGTTATAAGAAACGTGTACAAGGCCAATTCTATTCAATACCATATAAAAAATTATTTACCTAATTTAATTGTGTTTTCTGGAAACCCTGAGTCAAGAAAAAAATTAGTTTCTCTAGCTCATTTGATTACTAAGAACAATGGTGTACAAATGTGTGTCAATATTGAAAAGGTTAGATATAACGAAAAATGATAAAATGGTATAACAGTTTTATATATTAAATTGTGAATATATTTTATTTTTTGAAGATATCGCTCACACCGAGACAAAAGAAAATTTACCTTGATAAAGGAATTCGATGGTTAAGACGTTCTGGAATAAAATCTCTATATGTTGTCATTGATAACATAGAATTGGATTTAGCAACTCATATGATATATAACTGTGGACATGGGCAACTGAGACCAAATATAGCAATGGTTGGATACAAGTCTAATTGGTTAAATTGCCCTTATCAAGATCTTCAGACTTATTTAAATATTTTCAAGTAGGTATAATTTAAAATATTTTACATTAAATTACTTATAAATTATAATGCGTATTTCATTATTAGTGTGGCAAATATGAATGACATGTCGACAATCATGGTTCGTGTGTCATCAACCGAGAGTTATGATGATCAGAATTTATTAATTCAAGATTTTGAGCACTTAGACAAAAATGAAGGCATTTTGTACAAAACGCAATCAAATCAAAATATTAGAAATCAACGAAAGTATAAATAACTTTTATTATTATTTATTTTAAAATGTATTAGCTATTTAGGTTTTAGGTTTTTAAACACAAGTTCAGAACGCCTTATATATCCATTGTGTCTGTTTGTTAATTACCGGTACATCAGGGGTAGACTGGCTAAGGTGGGGGGTGGGCGATCCCCGCCTGGGTCTGTTGAAAATTTGGACTGCTTGAATACATTTGACTCTAACACTTACTAATATTTTATTATTAGCCCAATTGGTCTGAATTTTCTGTTTCCCCGGGACCAATTTTTATTCCCACACCGTAATACATATAGTTACGAATGTAGATATTATGGTATTTATTTATTCTCTGTAGTGGTTAGGTAGGTACTGTTCACAAATTGTACATGTAATTTTAATTTATTGCGTTGTATAAAAATACTTTTAGAAACACTATAAATTCAGCACTCTCGTATTGTGAGCTTTCCTAACTCGTTTAATTATAAGTTTTGACATTTTATATCCCTCGTGTATCAGTCTGTACACTGTTTGTATGTCTATGACCGATCGTTACGTTACCGTGGTTATACCAATATCAATATTTACAATTTATTTATTATTAAAATTGATAACTCTAAAAACGAAAAATATATTCAACTAAAGGTAAAATTGTTAATTAACATAGAATGGATAAAAAAAAAAAAGTATATTGTTTGTTTTTGAAGAGAGGCTAATCAAAAAAATCATTCTTGATACAATATTTTAAAAAAATATCAAAATATGAGTAGGTATACTTTCAAAAAACATTTTAAAAATGTCCTGTAAATTATAAACAAATACAGTATTAAATTATACAATTATACTACTTTATATTACCTACATATACAAGTAGACATATAGTGGCTTGGTGTGGCATGGTGGCTAAATTCAGTTACGAAACGTGTTCTGAATGCAAGCACCGGCAGGTGTTCCCTGATGGGTGATCACTGATCAGTGACCACCCGGGTTTTTAGTGAAAAATCCTTGCCATACATACACACACGTGTTCCAATCAAACCATACCCCCAGCTAATAGCCATAGTTGCCAGGCTTAAAGATCAATGTAAAAAAAAAAAATTCAACAGATGTATTTATTTTTTATTTTTTAAAATATGTTTTAATGGTGACATTTCTAATCTTATTATAGAATGATTAGCATATAATTTAGGGAAATAATTGCAGGGTGGCTGATTGCTCTATAAAAATAAAGAACAAGGAATTTTCCTTCGAAAAGAAGAAACGAAATCATGGGACAGTAGATGTGTGGTGGTTGTACAACGATGGAGGTTGGTATATTAAATAAGTACTTCTGTTCAAAGTAAATTATCTTATATATCTAATATCTTGTATAACTTATCGGAAATAATAAATATGTTTTTAAATTGTATATAGGTTTATCGTTAATCATTGCATATATATTGAAACATAGTAATACGTGGATGAATTGTAAATTTCGAATTTTTGGAGTAACAAACAGATTTGAGCGTTTGCCTGAAGAAAAACACAAGTAAAAACTATGTTTTAATGTATTACCTACTTTAAAAATATCAAATTAATTATTATTAGATATTTATTATAATATGTATTATTATAATATACTTGCTTGAACTCTAATAGAGATATATTATTTTTATAATACATAGTATTAACCTAATTTTTTAATTTTATGTAAATATAAACAATCTGTAAGTTTATAATTTGTAATAAACATCAGAGGCGTGCACAGGGAGAATGGATAAGGGATCATAACTCACCCCCTCCCACGAAATGTCTTCCTTCATGAAAATGTATTTCTACAAAATGACCCTCTCCTCTATGGTGTCAGTATAGTATGTAATTTCTGGAAAATTATCGTTGGCACAAACTCCTCCGAAAATAAATCCTATGTGTACAACTGATAAGCATAATATACAATTTTCCGTTATATATCAACATATATAATATGATATAACTTGATATTATTGATTATAAAAAGACAACCTCCCATAATCTAGTGACACTTTATAAACTGGGACTTATATAGATATAATTTTTTTCCCTGGAATGTCTAAGTCAAGTAGTTAAGATTTTAATCTCTGCCCACTTTCTATTAAGTTCTCTGAATTATTGTTGGAGCCAAGACTGAAGACTGGATATTGTAGGATTTCCATTATTCCTACATTTATTTAACATTTATGAATCATAAACAATAACTAAAAAATTGTTTTGAAATACCTAACTTATGTGCAAGTTAGACTAGAGTACCTATAGTCTATACTACCTTGTCATTTTTTACACTTCAAAAGTTTATAGAGGCCTGTCGGATTTTTCTCAAATGGGTTAAACTAGTATAGATACTGTTATAATTACTCTTAAAGTTAATATAAATTTGTTAAAACAACTTAAGGTACACATTTTTTTTAATATTCAAATTTAATATATTTTCCTTTCAAAGAAAAACCAATGCAAGATGTTTTGGAAAATTATCCACTATAGTTAAACCACCTAAAAATTCAAAAAAAAAAAAAAGTTATATTAAATTCTACACGACATTTTGTAATATAATCGAGTCTATATAATTGAGTCGTATTATAGATTATTTTTCTATTTTCCATAAGTAGTTGAATATAAAGCTAAAAACAAAATATACAAATATAAATACACATTTTTTTTACAGATTAAAACAATTGTTAGCATTGTATCGAATTGATTTCGACTACTTGGATATCATTTTAGCAAACACCACTGGTCCTACAACAATGACATATTTCAATTTTTTATTGGAACGCGTTTCTTCCAAAGGTAACATTGTGTAAATTATCTGCACAAAAATTGCTTTTTATAAGAACTTGAATTTATTTTCCAGAGAATCAATTTGATGATTACAGTTCACAAACAGAATATATTGCCGAAACGTTGTTTTTAAGAGATTTAATTGAATTGCATTCGTTCAATTCTGATCTTATCATCTTGTGAGTTTAGTAAAGTTTATTTGTATGTAAAATATTGATTCAAAAAAAAAAAAAACATTTTTAGAACGACTCCAAAAAATAACGAGGAAATCAATATATTATTCATGTGTTGGATAGAAACGATTTCTAGAGGGTTACCTCCGTGTATTATAATCAATGGGAGTACAGAGCCAGTTCTTACTGTCAATGCTTAAGCCATAAATATATGTAATACGCATACATTGTACTTTATTTATGTATACATTCATGCACTCTTGATTTTCCTTTCAAATTAATGTAGGTAGGAAGTTATTTTTTTCCTCGGATCTAGATTGAACTGAGAGCATGGAGTTCCAATCTCTGGTTTCAAACTCAAAATTCCAACAAAAATAAATCGTGATTTTTATTTTATTACTTAAATAGATATGATATGTCTTAAACTTGAAAAAATACTGTTAGATTTGCATTTCTCTGAAACGACTAAATCGAAAATAGTAAACATGAGAGTTGAATGTGCTCCAGACCAAAAATATTAACCTAACCCTGTCTATAGAACTTTAGTAGACCAACGCTTCGGGCTTCCGAATATACCTGCAAGAAAATAACATTTTATATAATGTAATTATATTTACAAATATTGTTCCACATAACCAGTTATTTCACGTATCTACTCATTAAAATAAAACGTTTTATTTTGATTGCCATTATAGAATTCTATATTTTAATACTAAAAATTAGTGATTAAACTAAATATGTTTCGTACAAATTTACAAAAATTAACATATTATCCATACTTGTTTAGCAACAATACTATACCTATACAATTTCGTTACTTATTGTTAATATCAAAACATACGTCATATTCTATATCAATTAGTTTTTTATTACTTATTAATTTATTATTGCAAGTCTAATTTTAATAACGATAAGAATACCTTCCTACCTACAGCTAACTATTTTTTAAGACCTTATATTTTGTTCTTTGTTATTTTTGATAAAACTTTGATAGCACTTTTATTTTTTGAAGATCTTAAGTGACGATTCAGAAGCACCGTTAAAAATGATTATCTATTATATCATCATATTATTCATTAATTTTATTGCTTCAATTAGGCATATTGTAATTTATAATCTTTCATATTATTATTATCTTTTTCTACGCACTAATAATATCTTAAAAATTTAATTTAATATTTCTTTACACAAAAATATAGAGGGTGCCCCGTGAGCATATACTCATTAGTCATTACTCATTAGCCATAGAGGAGGACTCGTTGCCATGTCAAAAAATTGTTTTTTGCCGTTTAACTTATAAACAAAGAAATTATTAAAAATCATAAGATTAATGTAAATAAAATGTCCAAAACTCAAAATTATTACAAATATTAACTCTATAATACTTATGGCTATCTTCAATTGTTTCAAAAATAAAAAATAAAAAATAACTTTTAACTTTTAACTTTATTACCAAAAAATATAATTAAACTAAAAAATAATATATTCGTAGGCCTTGTCTCTGTGACTAATAAAAAAAACAGATTTATGAATTATGATATATTTATTATCTCAGGAGATATCACAATGGGTAAATCCTTACGGGACACTAGCTCTGTATATAATATATTTTTTTTACTCATATTGTGAGAATAAAATATAATATTTATATAATATGTTTTTTTTTTTTTTACTCATTTTATAAAAATATAAACCAACTTTAATGGCTCTATTGTTAAATTATTAATGATATTGTTAAGTGTTCAGAGTTGAAATCGGTAAAACACATTTTAACAGTTTGATTAGCTATTTCTCACAACTTTGACAAACCACGAAGATCCGAGTGCTTTAGTGACTTTACCATCCTTTGATGATGGTGTTTAAAAAATTAAAAGTAATTATTGCCTTTTCTGTCATTTGTGATTGTTAGTTTCGACGATTGTAGTAAAATAACAATTAAACGATATCACATAACGGTATAATACACTCCTCCACATTCCTATCCTAGTTGTTGCTTCTGTTGAAAAAATAAAGTTATTATTAATTATTAGTTATTTGGAAGTTGTACAGTTTGTGCATTGTATGCTTGTTTTCAAAAATGTTTGATATTCTCATACCTTCTTGGATGCACGTGTATAATATACCTAATAGTACCTGACACTTGGTACTGCTCAAATATCTATTAGTTATATAAACGTCCATCAGTTCCAAGTCAAGTAAGTTGTTTCATCACAAGAAAGAATACGAAAAGCAAAAACCACTAGAAAAGACAGAATGTCTATAAGCGTCACTGCATTGGCTCGATCACGGGCGAATAACATAAATACGATCCGATCGCAGTGAATCAATTTGAGCCGAAGACGCCAGGAGAGAGCTGATCTAACGGTGCAGGATATAAGTTTAAACGAAAAATGGACGTCTCTTACCCTCTGGAAGAACAGCTGAACTCCTGAACGTCTTCCACTTTTCCAGTAACCCCTCTACACATTAAATTCATGGTTCGTGTGTGCTTGCCGTCCATCATTGTCCACCCGCTGTGCCAGTCAATCATCGCTGCCGGATCAACAGCATCGTCAAACCATTGTACAACTGAAGGAAGTGAATCTGCGAGTGCGGGCTACGTTAACACAAAAAGTGGACGTATCTTATAAGGTATGCCCTCTGGTTAGGTTATACCCTCTGATAACACGAAAAGTGGACAATCTTGCCCTCTCGCAGAATCGCTATACAGCTCCAGGTGGCTCGTTGTACGACTGATGGCTCTCGATAATACGAACCATAATTTCAACGATAAAGTGATCACATAGTATATTGCGCATTTGCATGAATACTATTGCTATCTAGATCAGTGGTTCCCAATTGGGGGTCCTCGGATACCCGGGGGTCCGTGTGTTGATGCTAGGAAATCCACGGCTATGTAGTACAGTAGTGATTTTTCATTTTTATTTTATTTAAGTGAAATTTTATGGAATATTGAAACTCGACTATCACGAAAAAGATAGATAGGTAATCAATTTCTTTAAATTGAAAATTAAGTGTTTACGAAATAGGGGTCCCCGGACCAGTTTAAGTTTTACTGTTACTGGACTGCTAGGAGTCAGTGGCTTCATACTAATTGGGAACCACTGTCCACTGATATAGATAAAATTTCATTATTTAATCATAAAACTCCTATTCTATATTTTCAAATAATTATTGTCACGTCGTCGCGTAGTTTGTCATTAGTTGATGATTTTAACGCAGCGTGTTTTACTGTAATATAGTTTGTTCTTTTGGTCAACGTTTCAAACATATGTAACCAAAACACATGTAACCAAAACATATACAATAATATATAATAACCCTTAAACATTTAAAATCATATTTGAAACCAGTCGCATCCTTCACTTGAGACTTGACACTTCATTTTTCTTTAAATATTTTAATACTGTTCTATTTAGTGTATTATAATAAACAACTTAGTGTTACATTATTACAATATATATATATATATACATAAGCTAAAATATACTAGGCCTCGGAGAAATTTCGGGGGGTTAAAACCCCTACCCCCCTCCCTGGTTGAGTCACTGCTACCTGATCACATGCACTTCGTTTCCCATTAAATGTACCAACTATATATGACTCAAACTTTGTTCGATTCGTTATTTAATACTCGGTGTATGGTGTTCAAAATTTATCTTAACTTTTCTGTAGTGTGGAATAAAAATTCTGATTCCCAACAGTATATTATCAGGTAGGCAATCTACCTTCAGTAGATCGCGGACCCAGTGCTGTTTGTACGTAACTTTATAATTTAACTCTAAAGTATCAAAGTTATACCAAGTATGTTACTGAACTCCTCCTAAACGATTGGACTAATTGTGAATGCCGAGTCTGTCGACCAATATTTCCTCCTCGTCCATAAATACGTGGCATCGTGATTGTTTTATGTACGTAACTTATATGTGAGTATAATACACTCAATAGTTACGTGATTTATTGTGATACAAATAATATCAAAACACAGCGTACAAAAAAATTAAATGCATTGAATGAATACACTGATTTTACGGCAACCAATAATTATTTATTATAATAGTTTTAAAACCCATGGCAACCATTTATAAACAAAAATGTCCACCGTAAATCTCTAAATCCCCGTTTGAGCATATTCCCTGGTTGGACCTATGGGGATGATTTGTGGCCTCTGTGTTATTCTGATGTATAAGCTATATTATTTTAAAGTTTCATTAAAATCCATTCAGTAGTTTTTACGTGAAAGAGTAACAAAGAAACAAACTTTCGCGTTTATAATATTAGTAGGATTATATTTTCAAATTTTTGTCCGGACTCCCGGAGGTTCCTTAGAAAGAATTATTATAATTTTTTTTTTTATTAGCTTTTTGTTAATAAATTATTACTCAACAATATTATAGATAATACATTTATACCTACAGCATATTAAATTTAGTTTGTTAAAAAATGATTATTTTTGTATTTATTGAATTTAATCGAAAATATTGTAATATAAGACGTTTAAACTATTTTTGTTTTGTGAATTATTTTAGTAAAAATATCTAATATTTAAGATAATTAAGATAAAGAGAATCAAATATTTTAAATAAATATTTTTGTTGAAAATTCAATTATAAATGTCACATTAAAGTAGGATTTAATGATTTATTCATATACCTATTAATTGTTTGTGAAATTGTTTAAAAACGTAACTATTTTATTATAACCCAAGGGACATACCTGTTACACCCCATTTGTAGTAAAATAAATATACGGAAAGATTAATAAAGTAAAATAAATTGGTGAAAATATGAAGTGTAGGTACTAGGTAAGTACGGGTTAGAATATTTTGTAATGGATATAGTGGAGAAATACTTAAGATACGGTGCTTACAGATGGCCGACGATACTTCTGAATACGGCGGTCGAGAACTGCAGTAGAACTTCGTGGAAGAGACCCTTTAACGATCCCTGCTGCTACTAGACTGTATAATATCTTAGTGAATTAGTGGCGTGTTTGTACGATATATGATGCGAGGCACTATGCATATGTGCTTACGTGTTCTGGTGTCATTTAAGGTTGATAAATGATTTTATTTCATTGGCTTAGAGAGTGTGTGACGTATGCAAATGATTATTCTATGACTTTATTATATTTAGTAGGTATCTAATGTGTGCATAAAAAATGTAATATGAAACATGTTAATTCACTCAACTGAGTGTGTAGTCATATTTGTTCCGTGCTCGAAGTCACTTCGACTAACATAATATATATTACGTGTTTTAATTTATATATTTGATGCTTTGTATTTATTAAGAGATATTTTGATATGTCCTATGTATGGTATTGCAGATATGATTCGAACACCAATTAAATGCATTTGTTAGCTATGATTTGGGACGTAATTATTATCGTAAACTCTTAAAAATCCATACTTCCGTAGCAGTCGTACATACAGTCAACCAACAACTACCAACCAAATGTAATTTAAGTTAGTGAGCACTTATAAGATTTCCTATATTCTAAAATCTAATAACAGCGATGAAATAATATAATAATACTATAACTATACTACATATATTACGATAACATTCAATAAACTTTATATTCTATGGTTAATTATATATGAGGAGTGAGGTGCTAGGTTTGGTGGAGATAAATAATTGTATGATAAAAATACAGGAATGGCTCAATATGCATACATGTGTTAAAGCATGTGTTAATACATGTGGTAAATATATTGTCGAAGTGCATACTAGCGTAGACAATGTGTTTTGAAACTTTTTACTGAGAGACTGGCTTACTTGTCGATTTTGTCTGATCCTTATGTATGGCGATTTTTGTGTAATCCTTTTCTCATTAGTGTGTATCGGTGAAACGTAACTTTAAGGTATCAATATGCATTTATGATTTTATATTGTACGCTCCACTGCTGGTAGAGCATTTGTTTCGTCTTGTAGAGGGGCCGTTCGAACTTGGCGAGGGTGAGACATGGCTTTTCTCTATGTGTTGCATACTTGCATGTGCATTGTGTGTGTATAATCAAAGGTGGGCATTAACTAGTTAGTTTATTTTCTAATCAGCTTATGAACTTAACTAGTTTAATTTACAGTTGAAATAACTTAGCTTTTCTCAGTTGATTTTATAAATATTACTAAAACAGTATAAAATAAAAATAATCCAATACAAAAACACAAACATTTTTGTTCTTTTTCTTGATAACATAATTTTGTGTATATTAATATATTTTATTAAGTTGTAAATTATATATTATGTAAGTTGCAATATTAAATTTTTTTAATAAAATTAATAATTTTAAATTACAAATTGACAATTGTTATGTTTTAATGTTATATAACTTATAGGTAATATATATGAAGGCCATCTTCACGTATTATGACATTCAATTGTCATAATTATCTTTATTTTTTACTTAAGTATATTAAGTATACTATGAAAATATTATATTTTATATTATACAATAATTATTATAAATTGTATGCCCAGTTCGTAATTAATTGTAATTATTATAGCCTCCAGAGACATGTGCCTAGTCATAAATTTCATTGTTTTTATCTATTTGAAGATCTAGGGAACTTTTACAGTATAATATTATTATTCTCAATGTTTTTGTATAAGTTATTTAACTAATTAAAACAATGACTCAATTCCTATATAGTATATAAAGCTACACTTTCTGATGCAGCAGTTATAATTTTGAAAGCTTAAAAACATGGCAGAACATGAAAAAATTAAAAACAAAAGTGGTCCGTGGATTGATCAGGTAAGGTACCTTACTTATACTAAAACAACTATACAATATTTTTAGTTTTGTTGATTTTTGTAACTGTGCACTAGAAATTAATTTTCTTATAAGTAGAACTAGATATTCTACCATTTTTAATTAAACTTAAAACTATTATATGTTTGATTATCTGATAACTGGATAAATCTTGAATGTTTGTAATAGTCTAGAAGCTATTGACGGTTTACCTCACCCATTTTAACTTCTTTGAAATTGTATAGCTAATTTAATCGGGCCTGCTGAATACGATTGAAAAATCAGCTAATTCGTAGTTCTGGAGGGGAGGGGGAGTCTCAAAAGTCAACTGATTTAGCGTCTCAGCCACCAACACTAAATAGTTACAAATAATTAAATTATGTTATAAAAAAATCAGCTGATGAAAATTCATATTATAACATATAAAAAACAATTATACATTTTATAAACTAAACAATTTATAAACAATTTTATAATTTTGTATACAATTTTAATTAATGTTTAAATTTTTTTACATGTTAGAATCAGAATTTGAATCAACCTATATTTTTATGAAATAATTTAATTATTTCAAATAATTTGGGGGGTGGCTGAGGCGCTAAATAAGTTGATTTTTGAGACACCCCTCCCTCCTCCTAACAGGTAACCGAATTAGCTGATTTCCCTACCGTATTCAGCAGGCCCGATTCTATGAGCTTTACACATTTCAAGAAAAGTAAAATGGGTGACTTGAAACCGTCAGTAGCCCACTGTCTAGATACCTATATAATATTTCAAAAAACTTCTTCTTTAGAAAGATTTACCCTGATATATCATATCTATTTATTTTTTTATTTTTAAGTTCTACCTATGTATACATTGTACAATCATGATGTAGATCTATCACTGGGTGGCTTCTTCCTTCACGTTTTCCATGTAAATAAATTATAATACAATATTTTGGTACTTTTGGTATACTAAAGATTGCTAGCAGATTGTATATTAATTTTTAAAATAAAAAGTGGGTGTCCCTCCTCTGTTCAGTAGGTTAAAAATGGGTCACTATGATGAATAGTGTTAAATTTGAGTTCAATGATAAAATATCATTGTATACGATTATCAATTCTGAATGTGTCAGCCTGCTAGGATATTATTTTATATTATATTTATAATTGTTATCAATTATTATTAATACAGTAGCCATTAAGTTGAATTAATATTATTTGCATATTATCATATTTCAATATTTGTTTATAATAATATACCTAATTGTCAATTGACTGCTTGACTACTTGAGAAGTTTCAAGTACCCATGATACAATAAAATAACAAAAAATTCGTTATTCTGGGTTATTTTGAACTTATAATAACTAAAAAAAACTTAGGTTATATATATATTTATAGATTTTTCGGTTACAGATTTAACTACTTGCATGGTACCTTGTTTTACATTTTTAATCCTTAGCTATAAAAGTTGAACATTTCATATATTTTCAACTATACTAAATAATTTTTAATTTTTAAATTTGATAAATTACGTCAACATTTGAACTTTAAATGCTTATAAAAAAATGTGCTTCCGTATTTTGAATATTTTTCAACTGCTGTTAAAACAAACAATATATCAGAAGCCTTGTACCTATAACATTTTCAAACTTTTTGACATAAATAGATAAAAAAAACAAAACAATTTAAAATTTAAAATATCCGTAAATAATTCAAAACAAGTCAAAATATTCCGGTGACCTTTTTTTTTTTTGGTACAGCTAGAAAATTTGTTGTAAACCTTCTATTAAAATGTCTAATGTTAGCAATGAAAAAAAAAAACTTTTAGGAAAAATAGATTGCACATTTTTGAAATATTGATGAATTTTATAATTCAATGATTAAATTTGTAATGGTCTATGGTTATTAGTTTTTGAGTAACCTGCAAAAAAATTTAGTTTTGCATAAAAATTACCACTTTACTGCTTTCTAAAGCTACTTGGAATTTTCAATTTTGACCTCTCAAAAGTACCAACTAGATTTAGTTTTCTATCAGGAAAGATGATGATCTCGAAAATTGAAACTTTTTATACTCCAAATGTCGATAACAGAAAAATAAAAAAATCACACTTCATTGTAAATACAATACATACATTATTTTGCTCCCTTCGGAATCTACCTAATAGTAAAAAAGTTTTATAAAATTGTACTTCCCTATTATGTAATATTTTATTAATTTTCAATATTTGTCTTCTTATATATTTAAAGATTCAATCGTTCAATGAATTATACCATGAAGAAGTTAACAAAATAGAAGTGAACCCAGGAATAAAACTGGGATGGGTCAAAGGCGTGTTGATTCCATGTCTACTCAGCATCAAGGGCGTGTTGATTTTCTGGCGGCTGCCATGGATTATAGCACAAGCTGGAATTTTTCATTTAATCATTTTTATTTGTATTGCACTGTTTATTATTTTAATCACCGCCTTTTCAATGTCTGCGATCAGCACAAATGGAAAATTAACAGGAGGTATTATTTTATTCAATAACTTCAATTAAAAATATCATAAATCTCATTGAAACTACATTAGTATATGATATACCTCTATGGTACCTAATGTTGTATACAACCCGATTTATTCAAAAATAATATCAACATAATTGATAAATTAAAATGTATTTTATTCATAGTTGAATATATTTTCTATAGTTATTTACCTGAAAAAAAAATGCAGCCAGAATTCAACCATCGAATAATAATGCTTATTTCTACCATAACATAATGAAATAAATAATTTAAATTTATTTATAAAAATGTTCGAAAATTATTACGAATAAATCAAAAAACATTTTAGTTAAAAATATATTTTTAAAAAATTTCGAAATTATTACAAAAAAATGCATGTGCCTATAGGTCGTAGCTGTTTGCCTGTTTATCATACTCTCCTACACAAAAGCCAAGGATGGTCACTAACTATATAGTGAGTCAGTAGCTTCTAACTTAACTATAGTTTCTCTTTCTCTGTTTATAAATTAACTGAGTTGCTAAATTAGATATATTTTTCATGTAATTATCGACCAATTTAATGAATTATTTTTAATTTCTATGAAGTTAAAATCAATTTTTTTTTATGTATACATTGAAAACCATTTGTAAAAACACTAAGATAAATATTTTTGTAAATATAAATAATAACTATAAAGTAGCGAGATAAAAAAAGGTGGGCAAGTGAGTGTCGCTCTGCTGTACAGTAGGTTACAAGTGGGTCACTGTATACTGGATGATATTAAATTTGAATTCAACGATATATTATCATTGTATAAGAAAAACGATTCTGAGCGAAGACGGTAGTCAGTCTGGGTTTAAGACATGTTATATACATATCTATGGTATTAAAAAAAAATTGACCTATAATAAATTCCAAATTAATCATATCACAATATCCATTAGGTACTTAAAACGCGTTATACATCAACAAAAACCGTGATACTATCATAGATATATAATATAGTGTACTTTAGAAGTTTCAAGTACCCACATAATAGTATTATACACTCACAACAAAATAACTAAAATAGGTATGCTAGGTTTTTTAATATGTAATTTCGTTCCAAATTTGAACTTAAAATGTCTGTAAAAAATAACTGTGCTCAATGCTCATATATTTTTTAGATTTTTTGGCTACAGTATGAACTATTTATGAGAATCTTTTTTTTAAATGTTCAATCCTTAGCTATAAAAACTAAACATTTTATAATTTATTAATTACAATGATTGATAATTTTCGAGATTTTGATAAATTTTGTCAAAATGCGATCTGTAAATGCTTATAAAAAAAAATTGTGCCTATGTATTTTTAATATTTTTCAATTGCTATTGTAACAATATATCAGGAGCCTTGTATTAATTTTTACACTTTTTGGCCCAACAGATAAAACTTGATTGATATTTATAGAAAAAAAAAACTAAATAAATTGAAAACTGAAAATGTTCGTAAACGGCTCAAAAAGAGTCAAAATATTTTCAAAATTGTATGGTGTATAGAAAATGCAAATATAAACATTCAGTGAAATTTTCATGTATTTACAGCAATTCGTTTTTGAATTACAACAAAATAAGGAAATCGCCACATGAGAAATCGAGTGAATATCCAATGTTGTAAAAATTTGAATTTCAAACGCTCATAAAAATTTAATTTGACTTTCTTATAGAATTTTTTTTTTTTGATAAATGTAGGAAATCTTATAAGAAATCTTGTATTACATTTTCATACCTTAGATTTAAAAAGAAAAATTTTTATGAATTTCTAACTCGAAATAATTTGCAAATTTTCGTGATTTTTCCATATTTTGTCATTTTTTGAACTTTAAATGCTTAAAAAAAATAACTGTGACTAACGATTTTAATATTTTTCATCTGTTTTAAGATATATAAAGATAATATAAACAACCAGTGAAAATTTCATGTATCTACGGTCATTTGTTTTAAAGTTACACCAAAAACCAAATTCAATTTTCTGAAAAATCGATTTTGCGTAAAAATTCCCGTTTTTCCTTAATTTTTATGTTGTTTTTTCCCGGCGCTTGTTAAAACTACTGGGAAATTTTTACTTTTGACCCCCCCAAAGTACCAACTAGATTCACTTTCCTATCACAAAAGATACTGTTGAAGAAAATCCAAGCACTTTTACTGTCCTAAAACGTGATGACAGACACCACAAAAAATAAAAATAAAAATAAAAATAAAAACACACATCATTGTAAAATCAATACATTCATCGTTTGACTCAGAATCTAAAAATAATGTATAAGATTTATTTTTTCAGTAACAGTGACTTCCTAGTTATCAGTCACCTTTTTCTAAGTTAGATGGTAGGTATATTAATCGACTGAATCGTAATCTAATTAAGATATGACGCCACACCCGCATGTGTTGTCTCCGTTTTACAATAAATATTTATTATAAGTGTAAATGTACGATACCAAAATATATACCGGTGGAAGACATAAGCGCCAAAATGAGATTAGAAAAAAAAGGTCGTATCGTGCTAAATAGCCAAAATTGTATCGTACGACCGATATTAAATTTAGAACTAAATCGTTTAAAAACTCCAAACATTTAATCATAATCGACAAATGTATTATATGTATAGGATAGATTGTTACATGACAGTGCGTGTGAGCAGTTTTGTGTTATAACATAATATATTGTTGGTAATTTTTTTACAAAATCGCAATCAAGATAGGTTATTAAATTTGTATTTATTTGTATACATATTATAATTTAATATTTATTATTGAAATTTCTCTATTATATGCATATATAATAGCGATTTTTAAATAACTACTTACATAAACTTACATTGGTGAAAATTATATGTCATATTTGCACTTTTGGTGCTTATTTCATATGGTGGGTAGTGGGTACAACAGGTATATAATATTAGATTGGCGCTTGTGTCATACACATTTTGGAGCAAATGATAGGTAATTTTTGTACCTTTGGCGCTTATGTCATACAGCCAAATATACGCACAGCGGATCACACTTAGCTCCGTTACTTTAAACATTAGACTGATTAGAATGAATCGACCTATTATAAAACTTGATGGTAAGAACAATATCTATGTTCGCACGGTGGTTTTTTATGATTATTCATTTTATAAGCGAGTCATGAGCATTTCTAATTTATTCTATATTATATACCTACGCATTACGCAAAACTTGCTGAACAATATTGAAGTATCGCAAAAACCAACATACGAACACAGATAATGTTATTACCATTAAGTTTTATATTAGGTCCATTCACTCTATTTTTTAAATAACTAACTGAGCTAAACATGATCTGCTGTATATATAAATTTGCTATGTCACGCAATTTTAAGACAGAGACAACACGTGCGAGTGTCACGTGGTGTCCTCTGAAGTTATTATATTTAACTTTGTGAACAACTTACATTTAGAAAGAAAATTCAAATATTTTTTTTATTTATATTCTTACTTAATCTAGATAGGAATAGTCAGTAACTTGACAAGGCTTGATTATAGCTAAGACAGATTAAGCATAAAAGTTAAACAAAAATAAGCCCCAATATTTTTTTTTTTAAATATTTTTTTTGTTTCAAAAATCAAAATATATCAAATAAATTCGTTCATAAAAACAATTATTGTTACCAAATATGGTAACTTTAATGAACTATAGTCTATACTCTATAGCTACCTACCTAAAGATGTTTACTGGCTGGATTTTTATTTTTGTGGACGATGAAACTCATCTGCAGAAACCCATTATAAAAGTATATAGGGAGCATAATATTGTGACTTTTTTGTTGTTATTCGTTCAAAACAGATCTCCCTGTGTTAGCTTAAGCTTACCATGTTATACACTCGAGAAACTGCTGTAATATTCGAAAAATATCTTAATAATTACTAACACCCGTGCATTCAGCATTATATAAGTAACACAATGTTGTAAAACCAATGTTCATCAATCACCTTCATTTTTTTTAGTACCAAAAAGCTTAAAAATATAATTAAATTGATGGCAATTTATAAATACTAAAAATATATAGTCAAATTACTTCCTTTAATTCCGTCTCCTTTCTCTTTTTCTAATAAAAATATACTTTTGAGTCCGATAGATTTATTAAATAATTAATTATTATTTTATTTATGCAGGTGGTCTTTATTTCATTATTTCCCGATCAATTGGTCCGGAAATTGGAGCGTCAATTGGTATACTATTAGCATATGCTAACATAATTTCTGCATCAATGAACACAATTGGATTTATTTTATCTTTAAGATCATTACTAAGATTACACGGTTTAGATATAATAGATAAACATTACAAAGAGTTTGGAGTAGTATTTATAATAATTATCAGTATACTTTGTTGTATTAGCATGGATAAAGAAGAAGAAGTCTGTATAAAAATACTTTTCACAAATTATTAAAATTTTTATAAGCTTTTTATTTCAGATACAACATGCTCTTCTGATAGCCATAATTGTCGGTATTTTTAACATAATTATTAGCTCAATTAACGGCCCACAAACTACTTTAGCAAAGGCATCAGGATTCACTGGATTTAACAGTAATATATTTCATTACCTACAAAATTTATTAATTTTTGTTCACAATTAACATGAATTCACATTACATTCCAGTGAAAACTTTCGAACAAAACTGGCATTCAGACTATAGGATTATAGACAACGTTCACCATTCTTGTTTTACAATTTTCGCAGTTTTCTTTTCATCTGTAACTGGTATTATACACGCTGGAGTAAAACTATCTGGGAATTTGAAAGTACACAAATTAATATTAATTTGACAAGTGATCAATTGATCATAAACTCAATATTTTTTTAGGATTCTACTTCTGCAATACCAAAAGGAACAATATTATCAATTTTCATTACTATAACTATGTATATTGTATTAATAGTAGCACTTGGATCGGTTCAATTAAGAGAAGCGAGCGGCAATGAAACCGAATTTCAAAATGGATCTTATTTAGATTGTTCGTTTAAAAATTGCACTGAAGGATTGTATAAAGACGCAAATGTGAATATAATGTACATCTGTTCTAGATATAAATTAATATTAATATGTTAATGTTTTTAGATGATGCAGTCGATTTCGTTGTGGCCGATTACTATATATTTCGGTTGTTTTGGAACTACTATTAGTAGTGCTTTAACCTCATTAATGTCCGCTCCAAAGTTGTTACAAAGACTGGGACAAGATGATGTTAATCCGATTTTTAAATTTTTATCAAAAGGCTATGGGAAAAGGAAAGAACCGTATCGTGCAAAAGTTTTTGTCATGATTGTGTCATCAATGTTAATTTTTAGAGGTATTAAAGGATAGTTTAAGTTATATTTACGTTATTAGTCCATAGGCGTAACAAAACCTTAAAAGTAGGTGGGGCCTTCAGTCCAAGCATTTTTATAATAAGTAAGATAAGTAGGGGACTCCACATCCTCCCCACATTACATTACATTAATTATTCATAAATGTAAATCAATTAATATTTTGTTTTACTATTATAGAGTGTGTATAATACAAATCATAAAAAAGTGTAATGAGGAGGTAAACATTAAATTATTAAAATATGTTATTTGACAAATTCAATTTTTAAATTTATTATAACATTAGTGAAAGTTAAACAATTTATATGGGTAGCAAAATAATAATACACTATAGTCATTATAGTTTAAGCCTCTGCTCACTGAGTATTGTAAATTTTTTTTAATGTTCAATAGCTATAATAGACAACTAGAATAATTTGTAGAATCGATGCATTACTAAAAATGTTCTTTCACTAGATACGGAAATTTTTGAAACAGAAAGTGATAAATTTGGAAAAACAGATTTTTGAACAATATACATTTTGGACGTTTTAAATTACTCTGTTGATTGTCAAATGATAATACAATTAAATGATTACTAATTGATTGTCTAACCAACATTAACTACTGATTTTAATTCAGTTACATTTATTTTATATTAATTTAAGCCTGATAACATAAGAAAACAAAATTTGTCTAATTTATTATAATAATGATTATTGATTAAATTTCAAGAGAAACTAGTATTTTATCAAACTTAAAAATATTTTACATTTATACCAAACTATTACTATGGTATTAATGTGATAAGTAATAAGTAGTGCTGCTAATAAATAAAATATCTTTGAAATATTTTATCGGTACTAGAGAAAAACACTTTTCTAATTTCGATATGACTCTAAAACCATAAGACACCACATTCCTAGGTAATAATACCCATACTACTCGTGGTATATACAATATACACCAATATGGCTCTGTTATATATTATTATACCTAGGTATTTACTATTAAATAGTAAATATATTATTTTAAAAAAAATTACTTTAATAATTACATGATAATAGCTAGGTATGAACCTACTTAGTTGATTAAATAATTTAAACATATAACACAATATGATATAGAGTAACAGTGTTACAATTAAAATCATTACCAAGAACTAACCCTAAATATTAAATATACTACATTATTTTAAACTATTTATGTCTCAATTTGGATTACAACAAATTATGTAGTGAATTTAATGTAATTATCTGTATTTGGCAAAAATAATTAATTGATATTGTTTACTTCTAAAAGTTTAAATAATACATTTATGCAATTTTTTTAATATATTATTTGTACATTATTTTTATTTTATATTATTTTTATCAGGTGACTTCGATGAAATTGCCTCATTGATGTCAGCCGTTTATTTATCTGCATACGCCATGTTAAATTTATGTACATTTCATGTTGCATATTATAAGCCTTTGGGTTGGAGGCCAACATACAAGGTACCTACTCGTCAGTAAATAATATATACGAACAATATACAGTCATATATCTTTTATAAGATTTCTACAAGAAGTTATTATATAGCTCAACAATTACAGATTATAATTCTACAGAATAAACAGGATAGAAAGATAAATTATTGACTATGGAATAATTTGGGTATTAAATACAGCTCTGAATGGTGAGAATAGATATAATATTAGATGTTAGGTCGGATAGGAATTTGGTAATTCTGATTCAATGTTCAGATTCTTAAGCAGACTATCAGGCCTAACACCTAGTAAGTACCAGAATCGTTATTTACCTGATGAGAGAGGAGAGGCTCAGGAAATATTCCGTATATAGTCATAAATAGTTAAGGTTAACTTCCTACATTTATTTGTTATAATAATAAAATATTAATTAATTATGTTTTTAGTTTTATAACAAATGGTTAAGCCTTGCCGTAGGTATTATCTGCATTTTAATAATGATATCATTTAATGAAAAAATGTCAGTAATTGTTGGTTGTACTCTATGTGTTTTGTACATACTTGCTGGTAGAAAAAATGAAGGTTTGTTAAATTGCTTATATAATGAACCAACTAATTAACTATCCAATATTTCTATTAAATAAAATATTATATTTAATTAAAGTGAAAAATTGGGGATCTTCTAAGCAAGCACATCAAATAAAAACCCTTATAAGAAACGTGTACAATGCCAATACAATTCAATACCATATCAAGAACTATTTACCAAATATAATTGTGTTTACTGGAAATCCTGAGTCAAGAAAAAAATTAGTTTCTTTAGCTCATTCGATTACTAAGAATAATGGTGTACAAATGTGTGTCAATATTAAAAAGGTTAGCTATACGGAATAATGATAAAATGTGTAACAGTTTCATCTTTCATGTATTAAAATTATGAATATATTACATTTTTAAAGACATCGATTACACTAAAGCAAAAGAAAATATACCTTGCCAGAGGAATTCAATGGTTAAGAAAATCTGGAATCAAATCCCTATATGTTGTCATTGATAACATAGAATTGGATTTAGCAACTCATATGATATATAACTGTGGACATGGGCAACTGAGACCAAATATAGCAATGGTTGGATACAAGTCTAATTGGTTAAATTGCCCTTATCAAGATCTTCAGACTTATTTAAATATTTTCAAGTAGGTATAATTTAAAATATTTTACATTAAATTACTTATAAATTATAATGCGTATTTCCTTTTAGTGTGGCAAATATGAATGACATGTCGACAATCATGGTTCGTGTGTCATCAACCGAGAATTATGATGATCGGAATAAATTAATTCAAGATTTTAAGTAGGTACTTACTTAGCCAAAAATGAAAAAATTCTGTACAAAACGCAATCAAATCAAAATATTAGAAATCAACAAAAGTATAAATAACATAAGTTATTATTAATTTTAAAATTGTATTAGTTATTTAGGTTTCATGTAAGTTTAGAACACCTTAAATCCCCGTTATTTCTGTCTGTCCGTTCGTTAGTTACCAGTAGGTACTATCGATTTTAAAATTCACAGGTCACAGATAAGCCATAGCATAAGAGTTTTCAGTGACTAGAATAAAAATATGCTCTCAGCCACTAGGCTCGCTGTATCCATTTACATTGTGCTTAATAAAGATATTTAATTCATTTAAGTTTCTATGGTCTATACATTATGTTTTTTTATATAGTTAATTGTTAAAAATATTTTTAAAGCCGTGAGCTTAACACGACCACACAGTGGTGGCCTTTTCAAACTTATTAATTATAGCATGATTAGCATAAAAGCATGTAATATATTAAAATAATTGCAGGATGGGTGATTGCTTTTTAAAAATAAAGAACGAGGCATTTTCATTCGAGAAGATGAAACGAAATGGGACAGTAGATGTGTGGTGGTTGTACAACGACGGAGGTTGGTAAATATATTAAATAAGTACTTCTGTTCAAAGTAAATTATCTTATATATCTAAATAACTTAATGGAAATAATAAATATGTTTTCAAATTGTTTTTAGGTTTATCGTTAATCATTGCATATATATTGAAACATAGCAATACGTGGAAAAATTGTAAATTTCGAATTTTTGGAGTGACAAACAGAGTTGATTGTTTGTCTGAAGAAAAACACAAGTAAAAACTATAATTTCATGAAAAATGTATTACGTTAAAAATATCGAATTAATAACTATAGTAGGTATTTATTTATTATGCTTGCTCCAGTTCCAATAGAGATAAATTGTTTTTATAGTTCGAACTACGAAGTACTTATTGTATTGTAGTTTTTAATAGTTTTTAATAGTTTAACACAAAACAATTTATTAAACCCTTGTCTTCTTGAATATGCCTCAGTAATTTGGAGTCAATCGTTATCCATTCATATTAACGTTCCTGATAATATTCAATTTAAATGTTCAAAAATAATTGCCTATATGAACAACCAACCCATTTCTAAAGACTAAATTATGCCGGTTCAAAATTTAGTAAACTTAGACTATCTCCTACTATTGCGTCAGTTATTTGATATTATGTTCGTATACGACTTATTAAATTATAATATTATATGTCCAACGAGCTTGTAGCTCAAGTCAATTTCCGTCTTCCCTCCTACTATTCGAGATCAAGATCTCAAGATTTTTTTTGCCATCCCATTATTTAGGTCCAAATCAGGTAATAATTTCTTTTTTGTTAGAGTTCTAAAACTAGCTAATTTAGTCTCCACTGCCTTAGATTTTTTTAATACAACTCGTGATACTTTTAGATGTAAGTAAATTATATATTTTTTTAAAAAACATCATAGTTTTAAATTAATCCTTGTCAATGAGTGTCTTCTTTAATATTTTTTTTTCATATGTTTCTTTGTATTTTTATTTATTTTTTTATTTTTATTTTTTTTTCTTTGTAAAGATTAATTATTACCTATCAACTATCAGTTTATACACTTATAGGTATACTTTTTAATACTATTTAAGGCTGTACATTTGTTCTCTAAATTTGTTTTATTTCATACATAATTTATCATTTATACCACATTCAGTACTGTAAAAGGGATATCCCTTAATTTTATGCGTATACAATTTGTAAATTTAATATTGGCAATAAAAATCATAGGTATGCACAGGGATAATGGATAAGGGATCAAAACTCAATAAACTGAGACTTATATTGATTTAATTATTTTCCCTGAATGAGTAGTTAGTTAAGATTTAATCCCTATCCAATTTCTATTAAGTTTTCTAGGAACATTTTCTGAAATTGTGTTGGAACTAAGACTCAAGACCGGATATAGGAGGATGATTTTCATTTTTCCTACTTTTATTTTACATTTATGTATCATAAACAAAGACTAAAAAATTGTTTTCAAATACATAGTTTATTAGGCTAGAGTACTCGTTTTTTACAGTGCAAAGGTTTATAGGGGACTGTCGGGTTTTTTTACAAGTGTGTTCACTAATCACTAGTACCTAGTTATCGCAGTGATATAATTCCTTGTAGTAGTCAATATAAATTTATATATCTAAACAACTTAATGTATCAATACATATATTTTTAATTTTCCAGTTATATACATTTTTCTTTCCAAGTAACAACAATGCAAGCTGTTTTGGAAAATCATACACTATGGTTGAACCTACCCAAAAAGTCCATAAAATAATAAAATTAAATTGAACACGACCTTTTGTGATATGATATAGTCCAGGGGTGGCAAACCTTTCGTAACCGTGTGTCATATAAAAATGGTGGTTGGATTTTATTAGCTTTGCGTGTCAACTAATTTGATGACCCATTTTTTAAACTTTAGAAATTCCTTCATCAATAACTTGAACGATAAAAATATAAGTTGGGTGTGTCACTAAAATAACGTGCGCGTTTCACAGGTTTGCCATCTCTGAATTATAGTCTATCAAATAAACTATTTTCCATAAGTAGTTAAATATAAAGCCAAAAACAAAACATAAAAATATAAATACACATTTTTTTTACAGATTAAAACAATTGTTAGCACTGTATCGAATTGATTTCGACTACTTGGATATCATTTTAGCAAACACCACTGGTAATACAACAATGACATATTTCAATTCTTTATTGGAACGCGTTTCTTCCAAAGGTAACATTGTGTTAGTTATCTGCAAAAAAGTTACTTTTTATAAGAACTTGAATTTATTTTCCAGAGAATCAATTTGATGATTACAGTTTACAAACAGAATATATTGCTGAAACGTTGTTTTTAAGAGATTTAATTGAAATGCATTCGTTTAATTCTGATCTTATCGTCTTGTGAGTATAGTAAAGTTTATTTGTATGTGAAAGATTGATTTAAAAAAACATTTTTAGAACGACTCCAAAAAATAACGAGGAAATCAATATATTATTCATGTGTTGGATAGAAACGATTTCTAGAGAGTTACCGCCGTGTATTATAATCAATGGGAGTACAGAGCCAGTTCTTACTGTCAATGCTTAAGCCATAAATATATGTAATACGCATACATTGTACTTTATTTATGTATACATTCACGCACTCTTGAATTTCCTTTCAAATTGATGTATGTAGGAAGTTATTTTTTTTCTCTTTGATCTAGATTGAACTGTTCAAAATTCCCAAAAAAAAATCGTAATCGGTAGGTATTTTATTACGTAAATAGATATGATGTCTTGAACTCGTACGAATACCGTTAGATTTGCATTTCTCTGAAACGACTTAACCGAAAATAGTAAAAATTAATCATCGCAGAGAAGTTGAATATTCTCCAGACTTCAAATATTTAACCTAACCCTAGCTGTCTTTAGGACTTTGTTAGACCAACGTTTCGGGCTTCCGAATACACCTGCAAGAAATTAGTATTTTATTTAAAGTAACTGTATTCACCAACATCCACATAACTAGTTATTTCACTCATAAAAATAAATCATTTTATTTTGATTACCATTACGGAATTCTCTATTTTAAAATTAAAAATTAGTGATATAACGTAATATAATTCGTACAATCTTACAAAAATGAGCATAATATTATCCACACTTGTTTAACAACAATACACCTACCTATACAATTTTGTAACTTATTAATAATATCAAAACATACTTCGCATACTCATATTCTACATATTATATTAGTTTTTTACTATTTATTAATTCATTATTGAAGGAATAATTTTAATAACGATAAGAAGGACCTACCTACCCATATGTATATAACATTTTTAATATCTTATATTTTGTTCTTTTTTTAATTTTTCATTAATTTTTAACAGCACTTTTACTTTTGAAACATCCCACGTGACGGTTTTACTGCACTGTTAAATATGTTTATCTTATATTCTCATCTTATTCGTTCATTCTATTGATTGAATTAGGTATATTTATAAGCTCTCATATTATTATCTGTTTTTACGCACCAATAATATCTTTACACAAAAATATGTATACTAATGTTTTTACTCATTTTATAAAATTAAAATATAATGTATGAACCGGCAGGGAGCGTACCAACTTCGTTCTTTTACTCCACTATGTCTTAAAAATATGGTGTACTAGCAGATTGTGTGGTGGTTTAATAGCTCGAACAGTTGTAGTGGTCGGAATCGCCTTGCAATTACTATCGGTTAGGTAAGTTGTGCAATTATGTGCATTTGTGTAAGAATGTGTATGGGTGTGTAATGTACTAATGTGTATACTGTATACAAATACAATTAAACTATTATTGAAAAAATGGTAACACAGTTTCTGGTAGTTAAGTTGCTGTATAATACACAATTTGATAATAATTATTGGTACAAAATATAGAACCAAATCATAGTAACACAATGTATAATATATTATGATAATAATAATAATATTGCACAGCCCTTATGGCCGAACAGAACTGAGTGCTTTAGTGACTTTACCATCCTTTGGCGATGATGGCGTTTAAAAGTAATAATAGTCTGGTCTGTCGTTTGTGAGTATCTGTTTTTGAGGACTGCAGTAAAATAAAAATTTAATTTACTAAACGATATCACATAACATTATAATACACTCCTTCACATCCCTATCCTAGCTGTTGCTTCTGCTGAAAAAAATAGGCCACTTTTTAGTTATTTGGAAGTTGTACATTGCTTGTTTTCAAATAGTTTTCATATTCTCACTCCTTCTTCGATGAACCCGCTTATGTACATAATATTATATTACATACCTTTTGCGTTTTGGTATTTGATGTCTTTTGAGTATTTCGGGTGACTTATGCTGTTTTGTGAGATAATTGAGTTCTCTGTTTATTTCTTGTGTGCTGCTCACCCAAGACCGTTGTTGTGTTATCTAGTTAATTATTTCAGATACGTAATGTAAGTATTTTTCTTTCATAAACATAATTAGTTCGTTTTTATTTTTATTTTTTATTTTCGTTCTCAATAGTCTTGCCATACACTTTGTTTCTATTATTTTAAGTAATATAGATTATAATTGGCTCATCGGCTATGTTATATAGCTAGTACCTTTTATACTGTATATTTAGGCTACTACGAAACACTTCTATGGCTAATCTTAACCCACTATTGTTTACGATATCTTTCGAATTTAGAATGGAATTGGCTACTGTTCTGTATCGTGACGCGCCGTATAATTGAGTTACACATATTTTTAAATCTTCTAATGCATAGTTATTTATTTATGGTTTTCACGGTTCAATGACGAATTCAATCGAAAGTCAGCTACCTATTATTATAGTAGTTAGTAGGTATTATGAAATCATTGACTGCAAAAAATAGATTTCGTACACAAATCTGGCTAATCTGGTTAATTACTTCGTATGAAATGTGACATTCAATAATTATTTATTAAACGTTTTCCGTTATGCGTCATAATTCGTATTAACAGTGCAACGGTGGTAATCGTATTGAACTTATTTGAAAACGTTGTATCTTAAATTAGTAAAAAGTTACTTTTGGAAAAATATATCGACAAGGTTCAAAATGTTGTAAATTCGTGTTCCTAAAAACTAAAAATCATAACTAAAATACCATAACGTTGAAATAAAATTTATTTATTTAATATATATTTAATATATATTATTTTATCTGGTGCATATATGCGGCGCCGCCTTGGCGGATAATAGTTATAACCTCAAGAGCCCATAACCAACAGCAGATGGAAGCACCTGTTTGACGTTTTAAAAATAATATCATTATCTATTTAATATATTTTATTACTATAAATTATTATTATTATAAATTACCCAATACAACGCTTAGAAATCGTCGATTACTATCATCGCTCACCACATCGATGATTTAAGTCATTTTTGATAACTGAATATGAATGATATCGGATCTAACTTCTCGTGCACAAAATACATTTTACAATACATATTATTAATATAATAATTATTATTTATATACCTTTGGCACGGGTTAAATGAATAATTACTGAACATTTAACGAATCAATAGTGACTAGTGAGCTAATTCTTATCTTGAGAGATAAATTAATAATAATAATAATAATGGTCCCTTCGACATGATTTAGTGGCCCACCATTTGTCCATTATATTTTATTGAACCATGAAATTCATCAATTTTTCTATGGAACCCGGCACTTAAGTATTTGCTGTAGACGTTTAGACGGGTACCGGCGCCGTACGGCATACCATCTCATCGTCGTCCATATCAACTTTATCCGTTACGACGCGGACGGACGGCATAAGTGTAGGCTGTAGAGAGCAAAAATGAGATTGTTCTAAAAATAAACATCCTGTTGACCTTGCGCCGCTAACCATCGTGAGAAAACAGTAAACAACATTACTCACCGTCCCGTAAACCATATCATTATTATTATTATGTGCTGTGGCCTGTGGCTCTTCAGACGTCTCGCGCGGTAGACCCCCCGTCGTTGTCCATCCCCCTAACAACCCTCCTCCCACCCCCCTCCCCGCCATTGGCTAACTCCTTGTCACTGTCGTCGTCGCTCTCCTACGACCAGCCTCGGCTGCATCATCATTCTCAGTTCTCTCTCTCTCTCTCTCCCTCGCGCGCTTCGTTTGTCGCTCTAGCAATGTGTACATATTTTCTTATGGTGTAGAAATGCGTACAATAATAACGTAATAATAATACTGTGCAGACCATAGAGTAATAGTGCAGACGTATTGTGTACGTTTCGCGCGAGATCTATATATACACACGTCCGCGTTACGCCAAGTTTAGATCGCACGTACAATATTAATATGTTAATGTTCCGCGGCCAGTTCAATAGGCAGTCGCTTTTCCTTCCTAATACCTGCTGCAGTGTCTGCCTCTGTCTAATTTCGGACGGTACGTTTAGTGTGTATATATATACACATTATAGTAACAAATGTGTAGGTATTATATGGATCGCAGTCGGACAATAATCGTGTGAAGGTGTGGCATTAAACTGTTAAAGCAGACAGTAGACGGCGTTGCAAGTTTACGACAGCCGACAGTAGTAGGCACCGGAGTAGAAAAATGCTAGCCAAGTTTAGATCGCACGTACAATATTAATATTATGTTAATGTTCCGAGGCTAGTTCAATAGGCAGTCGCTTTTCCTTCCTAATACCTGCTGCAGTGTCTGCCTCTGTCTAATTTCGGACGGTACAACGCCGTTTAGTGTGTATATAATATGTACGCATTATAATAACAAATGTGTTGGTATATAGAACGCAATAATTATGTGAAGGTGTGGCAGTAGTAAACGGTTAAAGGAGAAGTAGACGGCGTTGCAAGTTTACGACAGTTAGTAGTATAGTATAGGCACCGGAGTAGAAAAATAATATATTATAGTGTACTGCTTTGGTACCATCTATATTAATATTACCACGACGTCGGCGCCGTCCTATAAATACGCGAAAGCTCGTTTTATTAGCGCACGTTAAAATTATATTATTCTTGCAATTGTTTTGCCCGCTATAATAATACGACGTTTTTATGCGACGTTGAGACCGCAAAATACAGATGGCTCGTGAATTTCGTCCAAATGAGCGATGCGTTTAGACATTGAGACATAATAATAAACGGATAGGTACCACGACTACTGCAATGTTCAGCTGCGTTCGTAGACAAAGTCAAAAAATAAACTTTACTACTACTGTAGTCCGTTGGTAAAACCACCAGGTACATCCCCTCGAACAGATGTTATATAATTTTTCCAGATCAGAAAGCCAAACGGCTTATACCACCCCCGCGACCCTGCTGAAACACCCCCAATTTTAATTTAATCACCCCAAGCTCCTTGTCTATATAATTTCAAATACCTATACCTAGTCTTAACAAATTGATGTAATTATATTTTTTAAGATTTTATTACCTATCAGTTTACAATTTTTTTCTGATCTCACAGACCAATTGTATATTATATATTTATATTAGTACCTATTGTATTCAACTGTATTACCTATTCCCAGGAGATCAGCAACATAATATTAACGTAGTTTTTTCATCGATGCGATGATTAAAAATTAACCAAAAAGAAATATG